AGTAAAGAGCAAAGTGTCCATTTGCATCACATGGAGTGATACTCAAGGCAGCTGTGAAGAGTAACACAAACCTGCAGAACAGTATTAAAAAAAAAAGATTTACATTGCTTCCAATAGCATTCATTTAAAAAAAAAAGAACCACTGCTCTTTTTTGGAACACAGTGAATTTTAGGCATATCTGTATTTTAGTAGAACAGCTGAATTATTGTTATACACAGAAGAACCCAAAAGTTTGGCACTTGTAACAATTTGGATTTGTTATTGCATCCTCCACTCTGCATGGCACATGCATGGTAGCAGAGCCCCTGCACAGCATTTATGGAAAAAACACAGAAACTGCAGTGAAAACAGGGGAAAACCTCCCCAGACCCCTCTTTCTGTACTTGTGCATTTACTGAGTCATGCAGGCACCAGAAAAATATTGCAAAGCAACCAAGCTGCCTGGTGTGTTCTGGAGGGGGAGCTCAGAAGCCAGGCGGTTCAGTAGCTTTGATAAAATCCTTATTTTCATATCAAGATCTGTGCTCCTGAAGGCAGGCTGTGTGCCTGGCACGTGCTGTGCAAACACCAGGGACACAGCCTGCCCACAGCTATCAGTGAGCTGATTTTGAGCTTCTTTTGATTTCAGATTCACCTCTGTCCTCTTGTGTAATTTTATATTAATTTGTCTTCAATTTAAAGATGAAGTACCCTCAAAGCCACAGAAATTCACTCGACCAGAAGCAGCTGGGTTAACACAGCACTTTCACAATAACTAAAATTTAAGGATTAGCTGACAAAATATTTAAGGACAACTAGACCTTGCTATGGTACAGCAAAACAGAAGACTTTTCAGAATGACTCTTATTCAAGTTATAAAACCAGCAAGGGAGAGGATCTGAAATCCAACCCTGACTCTTTAGGAACACGAGCATCTGTCAAGGCCAGGTAAGGAACAGAGCCAGGCCAGGCATGTGCCTTCCTCAGAAACTCAAGGGATTTATTTTATGAGAGCAACAGCACTTTACACCTTTGCTTCTGTAATCTCTCTCTGCTGTGCAGAGCAGCCACAAGGCTACAAGTGTAAAACGAGCACTGAGGACACTGCTGTGTGGTTACAGTTGTGTATTTTTTCTTCCATTTTTCCCCCTAAAATTGAGAATTCCAAAATTTTTCCAAAATTATCTGTGGCACATGAAAAAAAGGAAGAAACTTTTCTTGGGGGAATTGTGGGAAGAGATGGAGTAAGGGGAGAAAAAAGCCACCACTCATCCCATCTTCCACAATTCCTACCTGTATTTGGTGATTTTCTGATTTCAGTAGCTGGAGTTGGTCCAATTCCTCAGCAGGGAAAGGAAAATGGATGCAGAGGCCCAGCCCAAGTGCCTCAAGCTCAAGGTGGCCCAGCCAGTCCTCATCCTGCATGGACAGCTGGCCAGGACACACATTCAGACTGTCACCTGTGGAGGACCTGGCTCAATGTCAGTGCCAACTCAGGAGCTGGGAGGAATTAAGGCCACTGTGCTAAGCAAGGACAACTCAAACAAGGTTCTAAGCTGCCAAACCACCAAAAACCCCTGGACTGCAACTCAGAAAAACTCCTGAGTTGTTCAGCAGGGGTACACAGTGCCAGGAGAGCAGGGACAGCTGAGTGGTGGCATTTACCAGTGAGGCCAGTTCAATCTACAGCTGTTTGCACATCCAACACTCAGCAAACTGGTGACCTCCCTCCTCTCAGCACCTCTGGTACCAGCACAGCCTCCCTCCCCTTCTGAAGGCAACCCCCCCTCGGAAAAGAGAGAGAGAAGCCAGAGGTGAGCTCTGCCTCTTCACCCCCACACCACCAATGGTACAATCCCTGCCAAAAGGGGAGCCTTGGCTTCAAACCACACTTATGGTGTGGTTACAGTTCTTCACTAGAACCACACCACAAGCCTTGCTCCAAATTCTGAGGGAAACCTGGTTATTGCACAATCCAAGGGATGCATTCACAGATCAGAGCTGGACAGACAGACAGACAGGAAGACACATCCCCTCCCTCCTGCACACACAGAGGCTGGAACAGCTCCTGGATCAGTCCCACAGACAATGCAGAAGGGGAATGGTCCCATCCCCTTAGGCAAGGCCAAGGAAGCCAGCTTTGAGAACTCAGGAGTGCCTAAATCTTGAGCACACACCAAAAACCCCTGGAGAGCATCCCTGGAGACTTGGTCCCAGCCACATGAAACATGACACGAGTACAATGTGCTCAGAAATTCAGTTTGTGACTGGTTCAGGTACAGAGGCTCAAAGTTCTTGGTCAAATCTCACTGAGTGCATTCACAACATGCTCCAATCACCAGCAGATTTGTTTCTTTTATTTATATTTTCTTTTAAAAAAAACAAACTAAGAACGCCTAGTGTTAATCCTACTCTAAGTGTAAACATTTGGTTCAGTAACTTGAACTGCAAAACACTGCTAGAGTATTTACTTGGGTTTATCATGTGCATTTATCACTTACGTTTTCTGGATGCTGAATGCCCTCAAGTGTACTGGGGAGCTACAGGGACTCGGGAGATAGCAGCTGCAATATTCTGAATAACATTTTCTGAAGTTTTCCAAGCCACTTAGAAAACTGAGCTCAAAGTGAAACAGATACTTAGGAACATTCATCACTTTTGAATATGGGATCTTGGCACTTTGTCTGAGGAAAAAAAAATTGATCCATGTAAGATTTTTTAAAAAAGGGAAGTTTAACAGATAAACTAACAGCACTTGATTTATTTCACAAGCCAGCCAAGGATGGAAATAGTGGTTCACATTTCTGTAGTAAAGCATTATATATAAATTTAAAATCTAAAGACATATATATACACACACCAAGTTTACTGCAATGCATAAATATATAAACTTTTTAATATGCCAACTAATATAGGTCAGAAAATCGATGTATATAGTTCAAGTTTTGCAGCACTTCAGCATTGTAAAAAATAAAAATAAAAAAAGGTCAATGGATTGGCTGCTGCCCTTTTCCCCCACCCTCCCACACTCCTCTGCTCAGGAATCAGAGTAATTCCAACCCCACATCAGTGCTATGGAAGGACAGACCAGAAATAAGTTTCAGAATGGCTCTTCAAGGACTATTTAGTGAAATACCAATATTTTGAATTAGTTTGGGATCATATTTCAACATATGTAAGATGATTTCAATAAAGATGACAAAGGTTTACACTAACACAACTGAGGGCAGAGTTTGGCTTGTCTGAGGTCCACAGAGTTGCAGAGTGGAAAGTCTTGTATGTAGTTATAATACTGGTTGTACAAAGTCTCTTTTTCTGAAGGGCAGGAGGTATTGTTTCTATTTTCCATCTCTCCCATTTTATTCCTTTTAAATAAATACAGGTTATGTCCCACCCATCACAACAACAAAAAAATCAAAAATTGAGGTAAAACTGTTCTACCAGCTGATCTTGACTACAAATAAAAAGTCAATTAAATATCACTACTGATGTGAACAAGGCTTAGTAAGAAATAAAACGTAAGATACTAAGTTCTTCACTATAACCACACCATAAAACCCAGCTTTCAAAGTCAGACAGCAGTAAACAAGACTGTACTGTAGCACAGAAATCATTAGTAAACCAACTTTTGATCCCAATTTAAAGTCACTGTACAAATTTTTCTTAACTCTTAGTCCAAACCCCATGTTTTCTGCAAAATAAATATATCCTTGTCATATTTCACCTTTGTTCTAAGAGACATAAAATACACCTTTCTACAATCCTCAGTCTTAAAAACCATTCTTAGCTTGCAAGCAATCTGAAGTAAAAAGGAACACAATCTATTTAGTTTGTCCTTTTGCTCTTACCAAAAGCAGCAATCATCACTAACTGTTCCAAACATGTCTTTCCTTTTCACTTGAAGGAAAACAGCCACCAAAGCCCACCCAGAAGCACACGCCACCCACCTGCAGACCAGTTCATCAGGCTACTCGAATGACAGCGTAGGAAAAAACTGTTTACTTCTTTGTGGTGTACTGTATCCATTTTCTGGGGTGTATCCATTTCAGATTAGTCCATTTTATATATATTAAAAATATTTGTCAGAATGAAACCGTTGCAAATCAATGAAAAACCATATGTACACACCTCCACCATTTTTTAGGCACAGACCTTATCTTTTGAGAAAGGACTAGAAATAAAAGGTGCAATGACCAACAACTCCTGTGGCCTCATGCTCCAACAGCAGCACACCAGGGAGGTTGGTTGTCATGTAGCTTCTGTGTATTACAGCTATCCAGTTCCAGATAGCACATGGATTCGTATCAGTTCCCCGCAGGGGAAACGCACCTGAAAGCTTTTTTTGTTTTTGCTTTTCAATAAGCTTCGCCAAAGGAAACAGATTCCCACCAGTTTCAGACACAAAATCCTCCTTCAATAACAAGGTTTAAACTCCAAATGGTTACGACTGAAGGTGTTTCCTTGATCTCCCCCTTTTATTTTCCCCCTTCTCTCCTCTTTAATGTGTACTTAAGTTATTTGTTCCCGAAACAAGTACTGAGACTCAAGCTTTGTAAGCATTTAAAACAAAAACAGTTACCATACCAAAGCACAGCATACAGTGTAATTTTCAGCTGTAATTTCTCAGCTTTTCCTTTAAATAGAGCTAGATTATGGTGGACTGCACAGCACTCTTCCAGTCTGGTCCCCTGGCAGCACGGGCTCACGGAGAAGGTACGCGGATGCGGAACAATCCCTGCTGCAGCTGCAGCCGGAAGAGTTTGCAGTTGGCG